GTGCAGGACCCTGCAGTGCCCCTCTCTCTCCCACACCCCATCCCATGTCTGAAGGAGTTAAAACCCCTTCAGTGACTTACCTGAGTCCAGCGCCGATGTCCCTAGGCGCTGGGTCAGGCTCTGCTTACTCTCCTCCCCGCCGTCAGCCGATGGGGGACACCTAATGCGCATGCCCGACAATGGCCGAGCCATATTCAATGCTTTCCTATGGGGATTTCAGCGACGTCCAACGTAGTTTAAGAACACAGAAGTCCCTTTAGTGGCTGTCTGATAGACAGTCACTAGAGGATGACTTAACCCTGCAAGGTAATTATTACAGTTTATAAAAACTGCAATAATTACACTTGCAGGGCTAAGGGTGGTGGGAGTTGGCACCCAGACCACTCCAATGGGCAGAAGTGGTCTGGGTACCTGGAGTGTCCCTTTAAGCAGGAAATGGCACATGGACCTCCCGTGATGTTTCCTGGTATGTATGCATAAGTTATATTACCACAGGAGTAAGTCCATTCAACAGGCAGTCAAACTGGGTAGTGGTAGCTGACCATGTGGATGGTCTTGCTACAGGCCATTGAGGAATTGATAGGCTAACAAGCTCTAAGGGGACTATGGGGGAGACAAAATGGGGCTGGTTGGGTGTCATCGCTTACTTCAGTGCAGTTGCATGTGAAGTTCCAGCTTATGTTCGCTTGGGTAATATTGAGGGTCTCTAGGACATAAGGCAGTTTCGAGCTTGGGGGTAGGCCTTGGGACCAGTTATACCAGGGGGATGGTTGGCCTGGTGGCTCCTGTGAGTACATATTAATCTCTTTAGTGTTATTGTACGTGTCTTTCCCATAGCCCACTGTATATCGAGCAGGGTACTTATAATCATCTCGTGGGTTATCGGTGCTATACAGATGTTTCTTTAGTATGGTCAAAGCGGTGGGGACTGCTATTAGACAGGATTCTATGGTATGTTTAGTGCTGTGCAGTGGGTTAAGGCAAAAAGAAGATAAATTAAAAGCTTCTGCTATTTGTAACCATATGTTACCCTGCCATGCATTATTATTTTCAGGCCTTAGAGAGAGGCAACACAATGTGATATAACTGCAAATGCTGAAGGATATAAACAGCTGCATGATGGTGGATCTGTTGGGGTAACGAGTTTACAATGGCTGGTGTGTATCCACTTTGGTTTGCCTTCCAATTTCACTGAGGTTGTCATAGTCAGGAGCACTTGGAATGGACCGTCAAAGCGTGGTTCAAGTCCTTTCCTCACATGCCTTTTTATCACCACCCAATCCCCAGGCTGCAGTTTGTGAGTTGCAGAATCAGAGTCTGGATCTGGAATGGAATAAAAGACTTGTTGATGCACCCTGCCTAATCTTTGGTGTAGGACCTGTACATAGGCAGTCACACTACCATGCTGCATCTAGAGGGTCTGGGGAAAGTAGAGACCTGTCTTTGGGGCACATCCAAACAGGATCTCAAAAGGGGATAGGCAATGTCTGGAATTGGGGGTGAATCTCAAAGAAAAGAGTGTTAAGGGAAGGCATTCATTCCAGGGCTTCCCTGTGTCTTGCATGGCTTTTGCAGTCTTGTTCTTTAAGGTGCCATTTGCCCTCTCTACTTTCCCACTACTCTGGGGGGGTGATATGGGGTGTGGAAGGCATGGCGGTTCCCTAAAGCTTTCATAATTTCTTGAATTATTTCCCCAGTAAAATGGGTACCTCTGTCACTTTCAATCACTTCAGGTACCCCGTATATACATACCAGTTCCTTCAGAAGCTTACTTGCTGTGACCTTCGTTAAGGCTTTCGACACTGGGTGGGCCTCAGACCAACCTGAAAAGAGATCAATGCACACCAACACATATTTATACACTCCTTCCTTAGGCAGTTGAATATAGTCTATCTGCAGTCTTTGAAATGGGTAAAGTGGCCTTGGTGTGTGCTTACTTGGTGTTTTGACAGCCTGTCCTGGATTGTTTCTAGCACACATAATGCACGCTTGGGTGTGTTTAGCTGCTACAACAGTAAATCCGGGTACTACCCAATGGGTGTTTACTATACTGTTCATGTGCATCTTTGATAGATGTGTAGGTCCATGGGTCATCTGGGCGATCATGGGGTACAACACACGTGGCACACACAGTCTTTTACCTTTCCTCCACATTCTATCATCATCAGGTTCTGCATCTAATTTCCTCCAGATGTCATGTTCTTCCTTGCTTGCCTGTCTTTGTAAGATCAGCAGTATATTGTAGTCAACAGCGTCATCTGTAAGGACAACCTGCAGGATGGTATTACCGGTAGAGGGATGTACTTGGATTGCTGCTTGCTTGGCAGCTTCATCTGCTTTGTGGTTTCCTTTTGTAATTTCATCTGTGATCTTCACGTGAGCTGCCACCTTGACAATGCCTACTTGAGTGGGTAGCAGGATAGCGTCCATAAGTGCACTCATGGCTTCAGAGTTCTTGATAGGAGTACCTGCTGAGGTGAGAAAATCATGGGCCCGCCATATAGGACCAAAATCATGGGCTATACCCAGAGCCGGTGCAAGGATTTTTGCCGCCCTAGGCAAAAGAAAAATTTGCCGCCCCCCCCATGTGACATCACAATGCCCCACCCATATGATCTGCCATATGAACTAACGCTAGTGCTGCACACAGTGTGTGTTTACATTCAAAAGCCTGCAGGGACAGGCTATATACACCGGAACCACTTCATTAAGCTGCAGTGGTTCTGGGGACTATAGTGTCCCTTTAATGTGAGGTTAATTAGAGATTAGTGTCACTATAAATATACTAGATTGCCTACTTACAACCAGATGAGGATGGTGATGAGCTCTGGCTGCAGTTTGGCTCCACTGGTCTGGTGTAGAACCGGATCTCTGGAGGCTGTTTGTAACTGCGGTCACAAAATTCAATGTTCTGGGAGAACAGGAAGCAGCTCCATTTTGTGAGGCCCCTTACACAGTTGGGCCCCAGGGCCTGACGGTGAGTATGCCCATAAGGCCCACCTATAAGTCCACCTATATATTCCACCCATGAGTTCGCTCACAGGGAGTGTAGTGTGTAGGGGATGTGTTATGTGTTATTGCAGAGGATCTAATGTGTGTGCCTATGGAATGTAGTGTATAGGCATATCAGTTTGTGAAGGTGATGCAGTGTGTTTGTGTGTAGTGGAAGCAGTGTGTGTTTGTGTATAAGGGATGTATTGTGTGTTTCTGGTTGTTTGTAAGGGATCCATTGTGTGAATCTGTGTTTGTATGCATAAGGTATGCAAAGTGTGTGTCTGTAAGTGTGTGTAAGAAATGCATTGTGTTTCTGTGTGTATGTAAGAGAAGCAGTGTGTGTGTTTGCATCTGTATGTAAGGGATGCATTGTGTGTTTCTGTGGATGTATAGGGATGCATTGTGTTTGAGTGCGCGTAGAGGCCCTGGGGAGTCAGCATAGCTAAACGGACAAGGGCACATGTATGAGTGTGGGGATGGTGCTAGTGATTGGCTCTATGTGTTTAGGGGAGTGGTTATGGGTTTGTAGTGGGGCAGGGATCATCTTATCTCAGTGCCTTTTGGGATTCTGGCCAGCAAACAACTTCCCACCCACCCACCCTAATTTTCTGTTTTTGTTCCGTCACAGCTAGCGGGGAGCGTGTCCTTGCCAACAGGGTTGGGGAGCAGATGAAATGTCAGGAGATGGACATGGTGGGTCTCAACCTCCCCTGCTCTGTTAGGTAAACTTTTAAGTTACCGAATAGGACGTGCCCACCGAGCAAAAAGCCGGCTGGTGGTAGAGCATTTAAGATGATGGGAATTTTTGGTTTGGACGAGGGGGGAGGCTAGACACCAGTGGGTAAAGTTTTGGTGCATAGGCACCTGGTTAAGTTCGTTGGCAAGGACGGTTATTTAAGTTGGAGGCTGTAGGGCAATAAGTGTAATTTATATGTTAATTATGTTATGTATATATATTTATCTGTTTATTTATATTTGAATTAAAGAAAAGGAATAAAGTTCGGATGAGTCCTGCAGTTGTAAGTTTAATAAATGCTGTGGCCTGTTTCATCCAATATTCGTTGTTTGTCATTATTGGGGGGAGAATTGGGGTAGTCTCCTTACTCTTAGTCGCACCACATTCCCCGCTACGTACATACATGTGAAAGAGCTCTCCCTTCTGTCCCTTAGAGCTCTCCCCTGCCCCCTAGCGGTCTCTTCTCACACCCACCCACCCTCCATGTGTTATTCTCACTCCCCTCTCTTCTTCTTACTCCTCCTCCCCTTCCCCTCTTCTTCTTACTCCCCCTTCTTCTTACTCCCTTCCCACCTTTCTTTTTACTCCCCCCTCCCCTCTTCTTCTTCTTTCCCCCTCTTTTCTTCCTCTCCCTCCACCCCTTCTTCTTACTCCCCCTTGTTTTCTTCTTCTTAACTCCCCTTCTTCTTATCCCCTCCCCTCTTTCTTCTTACTCCCACTCCCCTTCTTCTTACTCCACCCTCTTCTTTTTACTCCCTCCCTCTTCTTCTTACTTCACCCTCCCTTTCCTTCTCTCCCTTTTCTTTTCTTGCTCCTCCCCCATTCTTCTTCTCCTTCTTTTTCTGATCTTCCCTCTTCTTCCCCACCTTCCTCTTTTTTTACTCCCCCTCCCTCCCCAGTTCTTCTTACCCCCTTCTCCCCCCTGTGTTCTCCTCCTAACCTCCCCTTCCCTGTAGCGTGGCCGAGCTCCTCTCTGGTCCGCAGTACAGGAGTTTCTATTTCCTGCACCCGGCCGGACTGACAGGAAGTACACACTAAGTATGCACTTCCTATCAGTCCGGCCGGGTCGCGGACCGGAGAGGGCAGTGCCTGAGCAATTGGCGGCTGCAGCATTTAAAGGGCCGGCAATGAGGCGCAGGGCACTTTATAGAGAGGCTCAGGCGGCTACAGCACTCCTTGTCATCACCTCCCCTTCTCTGGCTGTAGCGTGGCCGAGCTCCTCTTCCTCCTGTCAGTCCGGCCGGGTACTGCGCGGTACAGGAGATTCAGTTTCCTGTTCCTAGCCGGACTGACAGGAAGTGCTCCCTTCCTTTCAGTCCGGCCAGGAACAGGAAACTAAATCTCCTATGCCGCGCGGTACCCGGCCGGACTGACAGCCAGGAGGAAGAGGAGCTCGGCCACGCTACAGCCAGAGAAGGGGAGGTGAGAAGAACATAGGGAGGGAGAGGGGGGAGTAAAAAAAAAACATGGGGGGAGTAAAAAGAACATGGGGGGGAGTAAGAAGGACACAGGGAGGGTGGGGAGGGGAGTAAGAAGGACACAGGGAGGGGGGGAGGGGAGTATGATCCATGTCCATTTTGTTGGGCCCCCAAATTCCTTTAAACGGCCAAGGCTTCAGCTAACTCATCTGGTGAAAGTGAATTTACAAAAAGATCAGAAATACAAGTACCATCTCTACTCCCCTCTTTTAAATCCAGGGGAAGCAATGTAGATGGATTTAACACTATACACCTTTTCAGTGTAACATTAGGTGGCATACGCAAGGCACATTGCATTTTGAGATGCCTTGCAGTATATATGTGTTTTGGTTGAACTTGTGACAGTATGCTGTTGATGTCATACGGTGTGTATATGGTCACTGGGTAATCTAAGACAATATCAGTGGCCTTGTCCAATAGGGCAGTTACAGCCGCCACTGCCCTAACACATGAGGGGGCACCCCTGGCAACAGGGTTCAATATAGTAGAGTAGTATGCTATTGGTCTTTGTTTAGCACCATGGTCCTGCATAAGGACAGCTGTAGCATAACCTTGTTCAGTACAGGACAGTGTGAAAGGCTTTCTATAGTCTGGGAGGCCCAGTGCTGATGCTGAAGTCACAAGTAACTTAAGAGTGTAGAAGGCTTCCTCTGCTGCAGGGGTTAACTGAAATGGTGTGTTGCATGTAGATTGCTGCAGACCGAAGCCAAGGACGACAATAGGAGACCAGACCAGGGAATGTACGTAACTGGGCTAGGCTGCAGGGGGGGTTAATTTGTTCAACTTTTTTCCTGTCGTTTGTGAGATGTTTTGCAGCATGTGAGATACAGTGTCCTAAGAAAATAACAGTCGCACCATATGCCTGCAGTTTGGCTTTAGTAGCTTTGCATCCTGCTTGTGGCAGAAAATTCAGCAAGGACAGAGTCTGTACAGTACATATTTTTCCATATTTTTGCAGCACAAAAGTAAGTCATCAACATATTGCAATAATACGACGTCATCTGCCCTTGGCCAAACTTCAAGAATTTGGGCCATAGCCATGCTGTATATAGTGGGTGAGTTTGGTGCGCCCTGGGGCAATACTGTCTAAGTGTACTGCTTGTGTTTATGTGGGAATGCAAATAGGTACTGACTGTCGGGATGCAAGGGGACAGAGAAGAATGCATTTGCCAAGTCAATAACAGTAAATACCTTAGAGGAAGGTGGGATCTGTGACAACAATGTATGAGGGTTGGGAACATTGAGGTTAATGAGTTCAGTTACAGCATGAACTGCCCTCAAATCATGTACTATACGATAGACCACAGGTTTCCCTTTCTCTTGCTTTTTCTTACCGGGGTACAATAGGGGTTACAAGTGGAGGTGGTCGGGACAATTAACCCTGTCTGCAGTAATTCTTGCACAGATTGGGAAATCGCATCTTCCTGTACAGGGCCTGGATAGGGAGGGGTGGCTCTGGGCAGGAGATGCACTTTGACTGGGGGCACAGAGAGTCTGCCTGTATCTGTCTTCCTTTTAGCCCATAGAGAATTAGGGACTGAGGACAAGTCAATGGCAGGTTCTGGCACATGGCTGGGCATAGTGAGAGTTGCTAGAACGTTTGATAGGGATATCAGTTGTTTGTCCTCTAAGGGCACAGACAATGATACTTTTCCAGTGGGACTATACTGGATATTTGCATTAATCAAAAAGTAAATGACAAGGCAGACAATGAAAAGAACTTGAAATCCACAGATGTATTCTACTGTTTCTAGATTTCTTTCACAGGACATTTACAATTCCACCTGAATATAATATAACCCTTAAAACAGTTCTTTGGACCTGACTTTTTAAAGTCGTTCCTTACCCAGACAGACTAGTAGGACGTGGTGCTGAGAGCGAAATTGATATAGGTATAAAAAAAAGAGAAAGTTTTCCTTACCTTGCTGCAGCTGATTTCGTGGTCAGAGGGACGTCCACATGTACGCTAGTCAGGGTCGCACTGGCCCACCGGGATACCGGGAAATTTCCTGGTGGGCCGCGGCACCTGGGGGCTGCGCTGCCACATAGGTGGCACACTGAGAGGGGGTTGGCTGCGTTCCAGACTGGAGCCGCCGGGCTGGGTGGCAGCTTCTCCAGTCCGGCGGCACTCCAGTCACTGATGGCTGATGGTTGAAGGAGGAGGAGCCTGTCTACCATGCTCCCTCGCGGTTCCCACAATTCCCAGCACAGGAACCGCGAGGGAGCATGGTAGACAGGCTCCTCTTCCTTCAGCCATCAGTGACACCAGTGACTGGAGTGCCGCCGGACCGGCGAAGCTGCCACCCAGCCCGGGGGCTCCAGTCTGGAACGCGGCCGGCCCCCTGCCTTCTCTAAGGTAAATTGGGGGCAGGGGGAGAGATAGGGAAAGGGGGTAGGGAGGGAGAGGGGAGAGACACAGGAAAGGGGGAGAGATGGGTTGGATGGGGAGAGGGGAGAGACACGGGAAAGGGGGGGAGAGATGGGTTGAGGGAGAGACAGGGAAAGGGGGGAGGGAGAGAGATGGGGAGGAGGGAGAGACACAGGGAAAGGGGGAGGGAGAGAGATGGGGAGGAGGGAGAGACACAGGAAAGGGGGTGAAAGAGGCAGAGGGGGAAGAGAGAGACAAAGAGGGAGAAATGAGAGAGACACACAAGGGGAGGGGAAGAAAGAGGCAGAGGGGGAAGAGAGAGACTGGGAAGGAGAGGGGAGACATTGACACATTCACACACTGCCCACACACACACACACACACCATACACATTCACACACTGCCCCCCACACACACACACACACCATACACATTCACACACTGCCCACACACATACACATACACACATCATACACACTCACACACTGCCCCCACACACACACACCATACACATTCACACACTGCCCCCCCCACACACAAACCATACACATTCACACACTGCCCCCCACACACTGAACCTTTCACACACATTGCACCCCTCACACATTGCACCACTGCTACTATACCCTACTACAGCCCCATATCCCAGCAGACTCCAGGTAAGTTGTCAAACTGTTCTTAAACGGTTTGACTACTTACTCTGGGAGGGGGTGCCGACACTCCTGGCACCATAACCACTACACAGAGTCTGTAGTGGTTATTGTGCATGGAATATTTCTTTAAATAATCTACAAGTGCCCCTCCCTGGCTCAGGCTCTGGATCCGTCACTGGTATATGACATGTATATTAATGTGTATATTTCTTATATATATATATCTATATATATATATATATAGATATATAGATATATATCTATCTATCTATTATATTTACACATATTAATGTACATTTATATATGCATAATACACAGATAAATTTCATTAATATGTACCATATGTAATGAACAGATATTGGCCCAATCTTGTTGCTAGGTGCATACTCAAGCACAATAACATATTTAAAGTGAAGAGCACACCCACAGGACTTCAAAATAAACATTTTTTACAGTTGTGCCCTACATACATTCACCATTTCAGTCCCATTAACACGCTTTCCTTAATATGTCAAGGTAGTTGGACTGAAACATTGATTACATGCAAAGGCACGTCTGCTTAAAATAAATCTGCACTTTTGTTTATTTTGAAGCCTATGAGTGCGCTTTTTACGTTGAAGTACTTTTTAATTTTAAGTTATCTGTTCTAACTCTGTATCTGCACACTATGCTGACACAACGCATTATGGGGCTGGTAAATATTTTTTTTCCAGGGCTGCTTTTGATTCCCAGTCCGGCCCTGACGCTAGTGTCAGAGTCTTTTGACAGCCAGATCCCAGGTTTCGGCACCAATTGTCATAGATCCAATATCGATCTTTGTTATATTCAGGGGAACCCAAATTGTATCAAGTACACTTGGAGAAGTGTGAATTAGACACCAGACGCGTGTTGGTTATCAAAATAAGCCTCTGATGTTTATTTTAAAAGTTTGTGCCACTGGCGTACATACCGCGGTCGCAGGGGTCGCAGTTGTGACACGGCCACCCTGTGACCTGGGTATGTACGCCAGCCTATGTTTTACCAGCCTCTTCTCCTAGGGGGCCCAGGAGCTGGCCACCTCAGGGTCCCCCAAGGCTGGCAGTGGCGTCAATCTGCGGGCGGGCGCACGTGCGAAGGAGCATTCTCCCCTAAGCGCTCTCTGCCCAGCTCCCTTGCGCGCACCACAGTAATACCGGAGCCGGAATATGACGTCACTCCGGCTCCGGCATCAGTAAGCGATGCGCGAGGGAGGTGAACAAGAGGATCAGTGCTCCCTCGTCACTTGCAGTGACCGGCCGCTCAGCAGCCCCACTGGACCCCAGGGAAATCTGGAATCCTCTCAGCACTCCCAAAGGTAGGGAGGCTGGGGGTTTCAATAAAAAAAATGTGAGTGTGCATGTATGTTAGTATTAGTGTGTGTGTGTCACTGAGTGTGTTAGTTTGTGTGTGTCTGTCATTGAGTGTGTGTCTGCTAGTGAGTGTCAGTGAGTGTGTTAGTTTTTGTGTGTCAGTGAGTGTGTGTGTGTTACTGTGTGTGTCTGTTACTGAGTGTGTTAGTTTGTGTGTGTATGTTAGTGTGTGTCTGTTATTGAGTGTGTGTCTGCTAGTGAGTGTTAGTGAGTGTGTTAGTTTTTGTCTGTCAGTGAGTGTGTTACTGTGTGTGTTTCTGTTACTGAGTGTGTTAGTTGTGTGTGTCTGTTAGTGTGCGTCTGTTATTTAGTGTGTTTAGTTTTTGTGTGTCAGTGAGTGTGTGTCAGTGAGTGTGTTACTGTGTGTCTGTTACTGAGTGTGTTAGTTTGTGTATGTGTCCGTTATTGAATGTGTGTCTGTTATTGTGTGTGTGTCTATTAGTGAGT